CGTGTGTGTGTGTGTGTGTGTGTGTGTGTGTGTGTGTGTGTGTAGGGCTAGTAGTATACCATAAAACAAAGCCCCTAATACCAGGACATCTAGCAGCCCCCAACCACTCCCACTGGGCACTTTAAAAAGTGGCCACTCATGTCTCAGTTCTGGTCTACATGTAAGAAGTTTTCCCAGCAGAATTATGTTAGTTAAGGGTGTGGATTTTGTTTTTTACCAGTATAGCTATTCCAGTAAAAGTCCTAGCATAGGTGCAGTTTTACCAGTATAAGGTGCTGTATCCTGGGATGACTGATTTTGCATCGCCAAATCAAAATCAGCTCTATTGTTATAAGCACTTTTATACTGGTAAGACTATGTCTGCACTTGGGGGGTGGAGATGGGGGGTTGTGGTTCTGCTTTGACCATGCTGGCATAATAAAAGCAGCAAAACTTTTAAGTGCCTAAGCACTGAAATCTCTGGGTTTCAAAAGGACTGGAGATGGAAGTGGACAAACCTGTGGATTTTAGAACATTTCCTAGGTAAACTCATTGGGGTTGGGAGGACATGATCAGGAGAGGCTGGGGAAGTGGTCATGGTAGGGGATGCTGGGATACAAAGATGAGTGCAGTAGAAATAGAAAAAGTTTTCTGAGGCAGGGATTTTTTACAATATGTATGTACAGCCCCTAGCATCATGGGGGCCTCATCTTGACTGAGTCCTCTAGGTGGTACTAGACTGCAGATAGTGAACACCAGCACGAGCAGGAAGGTGGAGTGAGTTTGAGCAGCATTCCTTGGCGTGAGTGAACTACATGACATTCTGAAACAACTTGCATTGGTTTAGAAAAAAACCCTTTTTCTCCTGGATCCTGTGTGATCGGCTAACCAGAGGAGAGGCTAAATGAAGTGAACTTGCCACTATGGGACTGTCATAGAAATACACTTAGCATTGAATCCTCAGCTTAGGTAAACCTACATAACCCTGTTGACTTCCGTGGAGCTGCACCAGTTTACACCAGCTGAGGATCTGGCCCTTAATCGTCTCAAAAAATTCCCTGCCGTTTCAATGGTTTCTATTTAATTTCCACAGGGGGACAGCAGGAAGTGACCCGACATGATTTTAGCAGGTTTGGTTTGTTTAAAGTTTCTTCAGCACAGTCACATTCCCCTCTCCCGAGTCACACCCACAGCATGTTGAGAAAACATCACAGGGATCCCAACTGCGTGACATGGTTGGTTCCCTTGTCCATCCCTGCGGCCTCCAGGGCATCCCTACAGCGCTGCTGGCTCTGACAGAGGCATTGAGGCTCATCCACTCCCACACTCCATTTGCAGCTGTGTTTGTAGCATTGCTTGCTGGGCCCCTTGAGGTATCTATGTAGGAGTGACCAGAACGGCTAGAGGCAGCACTGCAAAGTGGGACAGAGAAGGCTCCCGTGAGCTAGTGCAGTTGCAGTGCTTGTGGTTTCCCATGTGCACTAGGAACCAACATGGTTAGAAAGCACTGGTTCACGTGGACTAAACCAATAGGCCTAATTCTGGGTATTGCACCCAAAGCTTTACACCTGTGGTGGGCATTTTATGGGTACATGAGGTTTTGCAGACATTGCTTGGACAGCCTTGAATGTGCAATGGTTTGTTGTAAAACTTCCTCATCTAGTGTAGACCCAGAGGCAAAAGACATTTTTAATGAAGCTTAATCTAAGGTTTGGAGACCCTGAACTTATTGAGACATTAAGAAATCAGGGAGAAAACCACAGGAGGCGGGAGTGACACACATCAGGTGTAAAAAAAGTCACATATAAATGATTTGCATTTTCTCCCTAAACATAATGGGCCAAATTCCTCCTTTGTGGTGCTCCACTGAAGACCCTTCACTTACTCCAGGGGTGAATTTGGCCCTATTTTAAACAAG